ACTCAGAACAAAGCCAAATTAAGTTAACGAAGGTTTTATTAGGTGCACTAACGATTCCAAGCATTTTAAACATTTTTTAAACATTTTAGAATATTTTAAAAATAGCAAAACCGGGGCTGTAAAAAAAATGTTAAGCGAAACAAGGGGACCTAAAACTGTCATCGTTAAGCGAAGCATGGTCCCGAAATCGTTAAGTGAAAATCGCCCATAGGGAAAATCGTTAAGTGAAGCACAAGATTGCTCCGAAAAAGCCATCGTTAAGTGAATTTTTCATTGTACGAAGCAATCGTTAGGCGAGGCACCACTGTATTAATGTTTTAATTACTGTTTTAATATAGGATATTATTATAATATTGCTGATTTTTAATGGTTTTAATGTTTTTAAAGTTTTAATATTGTTGTACACTGCTCAGAGACCACTGGTAATGGCGCAGCTAAAAGTTTTTGTAAATAAATAAATACATTGCCCCTACATCATTGCTTATCGCCCACATCTTTTACTGTTGCTCTTAGGATTCTTTGACTTTAAATTCAGCAAGTAGAAAAAGCCTGAGAAATAATGAAACTACATCAGGTGAGTCTGCCTAAGAATACTGAGATGAAGTACATTTTATTTCAATGGGTTTTCTTGAGGGCTGTTCCCAGGTTGTGGAACTATTTTCCAAAGGAGTTTAGGTGGGCCCCATCCCTGTTTTCTTTCTGCCAGGACTCAACTCAAAGACAATTTTTAAAAAATTACAATGAGCTTTTGTTGATTGACTGGTTCGTTCAGGAAGGGACATTTCACAGATGGGCGTATGTTCTTGCTGTGTTTGTAATTTCTTTTAATTCAGTTGTGCTTTAATATTATGACTATTACAATTTTATCTGTACTTTTTCAATTAGAGCCACTTTTAAGCTCCAATTTAGGGTGAAATATGTGACCAACCTCCAGGAGGCAGCGGAAGACAGGAGGGCCTGGCGTGCTCTGGTCCATGGGGTCACGAAGAGTCGGACACGACTTAACGACTAAACAACAACAAATGTGAACAAAATAAATAAAAGGTTAAACATTTGACTTCTGTTATGTGACTGACTCCCACATCAAATATTATAAGATGTCTTCCCTTCACAACACCTTTAGATGGAGGATTTTCATTGGGCCTATTCTGCAAGGGGAAACATTCTCCCTTGGTGGAATGGTTTTAAAACTGATTAATTTCCCCCTCCCCTGCCCAATAATTTTTGAAATAAAAATTGGGCATTAGAAATGCATAGATTTTTGTACTGCCTGGTTTGTTTCCATACTAAAGTGCATATTTTGTCAGAATTGAATGTGTATGCCTTCCAGTGTTGCACAGGGGTAGTGATTTCTGACTGACAGTGTGGTGATCGTTTTCCATTTTTCCTTGAATCCCAGGAATGACTTTACCTACAGGTATTTCAGACTTTCTGTTGGACTGTTTGGATGCAGATTCCACTGTGAGCTACAGTACAGAATGTAGTGATGACACAAGTATTTATTCTTCACCAGAAATACTCAGGGATGAAAGAAGTCTAGGTACACATTGCTTATTTTCTATGTATGGGAGGAATATAGTATAGGGAGAGAGTTTATTGGCATTGTATATGCTTAAAATTATGGAAGAGCCGGGTCTTCTTGAGGTGGGGCCTAGAGGATGGGGTTTGAATGCTTTGTGCCCTAATCCCTAATATATTTGTTAAGGCCTACTGAAACCTCTCAGGGCTGTTCCAGAGACATTGGCTTATAAATGCCTTATTAACTTTGTAGAATTTCTTGAGTTCAAAACAAAATAGGGGGGGCTACCATGTTGTCTTCTCTATTCAGAAGAAAGCAGTGCTAGTCCACAAGGACCAAGGCTTGGAGGCAAAAATTCAACTCTCTTGGATACAAGTAAAGCTATCAACATTGACAAGATGCAGCAGCTGCCGAATCTTTCAAACATATCCGGTAACTAACTCTGAATGGGTTAAGGAAGGGAATGATTGTAAATTCAGCTGTGAACATCTGTTCTGTTAAAGGCTGAATGAACAGTCAGCAGCAGATATGGTGCTTTTACACCACTAGGTGTGTGGGGGGGCAATTCAAGGGAGAAGCACCAAATGAGAAGCTGTCTGCCAATCCTGCAATCTGCTGTGGAGGCTTTCTTGTGCCCCACTTGGGGCTGACATGGAAGAGTGGGATAGTCTTCCAACAAATTCTTCTCTTTCCTCCACTTTCCCCATTTATTTTATTTCAGTTGATCAGCAATAACAATATGCATTTTTATTTTCTCTTTATATGGCCCAGATTTTTGAGCTTTCTGCATTTTAACCAGTTTTACTCATTCTTTATCGCTGTTAATTCACTTTAGCATTTTTGTTGCTCATCTTTTTGATACAAGAAATTCTAGGATCCTCCAATAAACATTTTAATTAAAACAATTTTCCCTTTTTTGAAATGAAGCTACTTATGGATGTGAACTGGGGAAGAGAAGCATGGATCGGGGGAAGGATTAAGCACTCTCTATGTGCACATCCCCAGCATCCTTTGAATAAATAGTGTCTTGGGTTCCCAATTCATGTCTGGGGCATATTTTGCTTATTTTGGCCAATGATTAATGTGGAAATACTGTATGTCATTTGTATTGTGTTGTACTATGACGGTCACATTAGAAATTTTTCTTAAATTCCTGTTAAATTTAATCCCTATTTTAGGAGGTCAAGATTGGACCATTACAAGGTAATATATAAGATATAAGTATAATATTTCTTTTAATTTTTTATGAAAAGAAATAGTGTACTGTAATTCCATCATGGGGATCATTTGGAAAAATTAAGATTGCTTTTTGTTCAAGCTCAGTGGTGTCTATATGCATTCCTTTGAAGATCACAGTTTAGGTCTAAAATCATTACATATCACATAGGCATGCACATGACTATATGCTTAATAATCATCATCATGTGCTATCAAATAAATTCTTATGACAACACTTTTCAGGATTTCCTAGATAAGAGAATACTCAGAAGTGGTTTACCGTTTCCTTCCTCTAGGGGCATCCTCGGACTCTGCAGCTTGCCGAAGGCCACACAGGCTGGCTCTTCTCCCAAAAGGCACAGTGGGAAATTGAAATCCCACCCAGCTGCTATATTATTATGGGGGCGTAATTTACTCTCAAGAGGCAGCTATTGCTCTTAGAACTGATAGACTAAAATCCAAAACAGTTGTCTCCCTTCTGTGAAATTGGAATCACCAGTCTCCTATGAGCTAACTAATTAGGGTGCTGTGTGGGCCATTTGGCCTCATGATTTTGGAGCAGGCCATCCTTACCTGGTAAGGACATTGGGTTGACTGCTTTCCAGTTTGCTTCATATCGAACCCTGTAGCTGTGGTGAGCAGAAGGCTTAAGTGCTTCATATTAGGTCACTTCCGCCATCTGATTCTCTCTTCTCACAATGATTCTCCAAGGAGCCTTTGTTCTGAAAATGTTTCATAGCCATAAGTTCTTCTGCTTCACCATTTCTGCTGCATGTGCATGAGAGAAATTCTCTTGGCTGTTACAGCTCTTACTGCCGTCTTGGAAATTTTTGCTGACATGCAAGAAAAATGGGATCTCATCTTTCAGAAGACATTTCCCAGAATAATGCATTTCTGGTGACACTGATAGAGCATCATGTCAGGGCAAAATGACCACCTGAACTGTTCTATTGACTACTGATCTGTTCTTAGGTGCTGTCATGTTGCTTCCAGATCAGTCATTAGCAGATAGATAGATAGATATATATATGGTATATGATGCATGTTGACTAGCCAACAAAAAAGTAATGTTGATCATGAAAAAGGGGGTAGCTAAACATCTCCTTGCTTTCCTTAACACTTGAATGTTTAAATAAGAGACTAATGTTTTAGTTTCTTATCTATGACAGACCATCCAAACAGAAACTGCATTCTGGCCTGAGAAGTGCTTCAGCTATAGTAGCAGGTAAATAATACCATTTGAAATAAATTAAAAAGCTGTATTTGTTTTTGTTGTTATGTGCCGCACAGTCACTTCTGATTTATGGCAACCCCATGAATGAGTGCTCTCCAAAATGCAGAGAAGGAGATGAGGATAAGAGATAAGCATGGGAAGGGGACTTACACAGTAGCGAAATAAAGAAGCGGTTTAAAAATACCACCGTCTCTATAGCTGGGCATGGCAGTACTAATTGGTGCAAGACGAGATGCTGGTCACAGACTATCTGCTTGCTTAAGGATAATGTTAGTGAAAGTGCAAATCATTGTATTTTCTCCTGGCTACCGAGAGCACCTCAAGTCTTTTCTGGCTGCCATGTGAACCAGCAATTCCTTCAGAGTAACTGGTACACCTTGGCTTTAAACTTGCACAAATACTTTTCGGAATCTCATTCCACCATGGTTTTAAATGAAAAGGACAGAGGTGTTAAAAGCTCAGGCTCTGGGGAGTAAATGAACAATCATGCTGATCAGACCATGGCAAATGGGAGAGTGAACTTGCTTGGATTACTTGAAGGGTGGTTTGTTTTGTTTCTTTTTGGTAGGGAAACAAGTGCACAAAATTTTGCCTGCAAAGGAGTTAGCATCTGGATCGCCATCACCTGGAGCCTCCTTACTGCTTCCAAACCAAAACACACAGGTGCTTAATTTTGATGCTCATGGGTTGTGCTCTGTACACTGTGGTCTGCAGTACCATAGATATAAAAAGAGTTAATAATCAATAATTATATGTTAGCAAGTCTTGCATGGAATCCCAGGATTTTCTAGATAAAATACTGAGAGGTAGTTTACCAGTCCATGCATCTGGTGGTGCAGTGGGACTGTGCAGCTTGCCCAAATCTGCACAGATTACAGGGCATGTAACATCAGCCATATATGATATGGGTGATCTTGGCCATCCCTTCTCCTGAAGGGCACAGGGGGGATTCAGACTGAACAGCTCTGCAATTATGGGGCATCAGGTTGATTCGAATTTATGAGATTTTCTGGGTGTAAAGTACTCGGAAAGGATTTACCACTTCTGCTGTTGCTCTTGGTCAAGGTTACACAGACTCCTGATATGTCCAACGAGGATCAAACTCCTGATCCTTGGTTCCACAGTCAGGTGTTCCAACTTACTGAGCTAATTACTCTCGTGCTGGCCCAAGAATGTTTGTTGTCTAAGAAAGACATCTTCTTCCACAGGTATACCCTATTATGGTAGGTGGATCTAGAGCCTGGAAACCTAAATGTGCTAACATTCTAATGTTAAGCTTGTTACATTTTGTTAACTGGACAGCAAGCTAACTGATGTATCTAAAGTACAGTATAATGTTCTGAAAGTTATTGTTTTAAACATTTTAAACATTCAGAATGTTACTTCTAAAAAATTGCATTCCTTGATGCAAAAGCAACAATGTTAACATTAGCATGTTCAGTCTGTCAGATTATTTCCAAACTCTCATTTTACAAATGGCAATGGGATAACATCCTTGATCATACTGGAAGGCAGCAGGCTAGCACAGGAGACACAGAGTGGGATTTGAGGCACAAACTGTCCCATCCACCAGCATCTTCCTGCTTCTTTCCCTCACCCCCATTCCCCATTCTTCTGAATCCCAGCATTATGCACCTAGTGTGCCAAAGGGGAAGACTGGCCATGAGTTAACCGCACGCATCTGATGCTGTCCGTGTTGAGTGGAAACCGCTTTGTCCTGAATGGGTGGTTGACAGAGATTTGCATTTTCTGTCAGTGAAAGTGAGTCACGGTTGTGAGATTCATCAGCTGATGTGCTAATTGTTTTGCCGGCAAGTAATTAAGAAAACTTAACTCCTTTCCAATTCAGGTATTGACAACTACAAGCTGTTGTGACACATTCCTGCTTTATTGATAAATCTGGGAAAGAAGTGGGATAACAGTTCCCGCTTGAAAAAATATGGTGCCACTAGAGAATGAATGTGAGATCATCGTGCAGCTTTTCAGAAGAGCAAGCTTGCACTAGTCATTGCAGTTTTACTCGCGCAGGGACTATAATTGATAACATGCTGTAATCACCTAGAGTGGCATCTCTGTTCAAGTTAAATTGACAAAACATGTTTGATAGTGAATAATATACAGTGGGCAAATGTTTGCATGGAAAATCAACTAGTAGGAGAGAGATGATAAAAACTTCCTTCTGTTTGCTGATTCTCCTTCCATGATTCTTCATTTTAGCTCCTCCATCTGACAGACCTAGTGCTGAATTATCATTATCAAGTGCCATTGAGTCAATTCTGACTTACTAAAAACCTTTTCAGGATTTTCTAGGTAGAAAATACTCAAAAGTGGTTGACCGTTCCCTTCTTTTGAGGGCGCCCTGGGACTGTGCAGCTGGCTCAAGGCCACACCGGTTGACTTTTTTTGCAGGAGGGGCACACCTCTGGGTCAGACTATAAGTGATGCTAATTCAGCAGTTTAAAATTCATCTTCTTTAAAAGGTAAAGAAGGTTTGATTATCCTAGCAGGAGTTTGCTGGCATCTTTATTGTGCGGTCTTTATTTCGAAGCTGACTGGAGAAAATTACAAAACACTAGGTGGTGGGAGGGGATGCTGAGGGGACGCTCTCTTTATCAAGAGAGGAAAGTGTTAAACTACTACTCTAGTTGTGCTAAAATTCAGTTCCTCATCTTATTTCAGCTTGATAATCAGTCCCCTAAGAAAACAAAGTGCAAGAAAAAAGTGAAGTTCAAAAGCATGTTGGAAAACACTTCTACCTCCACTGTTTTACCAAACTCATCTGGAAAAAGCAAGCCAAATGCAGCTTGTGGGATTACAGTTGAAATGTTAGTTTCTGAACAGCCAGGTGCCAACATGGTAAGTGGTTTTGCTGTGGCATTTTACAATCATGCTTGAGACAGCAAGGAAGTTTGAGACAAGGACGTGGAAGTGCAAAGGATCACATGAGAGCTAAAAACTGACAGAAGATAATGAGGCACGTCATAGTCTGGTATAGTGAAAAATGTACTAATGCGGTCTCTTATTTGGGAAGGAAATCCTGTGGTGGTTTGTTTTCTGCAAGATGTTTTCTGTGGTGGTCAGTGTGGCCCGTGTAGCTAGCTTTTCCCCCCGAGCTTAGATCATGGTCCAATACAAAGATCTGTAAAGGGAAGCTTGCTCGTTGGGAACTTCCTGTCTTATGGACAAAGGCAGAAGAGATAGTTTGCTTTGAGTTCATATGATATGGGGAAAAAAGGACTCCCATGGATATTCAGGGATTGGTTCAGAACCATGTGTTGGAAAGGTGGGGGTACCAAATTCCAAAAACTGTTTTAATGTGCTCTCACTCCCCACATGATCCAGCACAGATTCCAAACAAATATATCCTCTGTTTTCATCTGCATTGGTTAAAGCGGGGTCCCCAACCCCTGGTCCACAGCCCAATGCCTATCTGTGAGCACAGGGGTGCCCCCACCACCACATGGAGCCTGCCCCCACAACCGGTCTGTGATTCCAAGAAGGTTGGGGACCACTGGCTTAAAGTACTGTTTTTAACTGTAGGTCTGTGTTGCGTCCACTCGGGGTTCTTCCCAAACTCTCAGGTCCACCCTCTGGATGTGTTTCCTCTTTTTATGCTGCCTCCAGTGGATCTAGTCCACACTACTACCAAATATATGTAACTCAGACGCATGCTGCCAATATAACAGATTTATTGATCTCTTAGTTGGTAAATCACAGATGTAAATCACAAATGTTTGTTTATTACTGTTTAAGATCTCTCATTAAAGTACTTGGGTTGGATTACACATTTGCTTGCATATATTTATTCCCAAATAAGTATATGCAAGCATATACATCAACAGTACTCTTTGACTATCTATTCACTATTCCTTCTAACTCTTTCCTATTCTCTTTAACGCTCCAACTTTCCAAGCTCTGTCTTAACTATATCAATTCAATACAGTGGTGCCTCGCTTAACGAGCACACCGTTTAACGACGATTCCGCATAGCGACGTGTTTTTTGCTATCGCTAATGCGATCGCATTGTGATGTTTACATAGGCTAAACAGCGCATTGCGATGATCAGTAAGCATTTCGCTTACCGACCTTCGCATTGCGATGTTTAGAAAACAGCTGATCGGCAGTTCCAAAATGGCCACCGGGTGCAGAAAATGGCCCCCCGCAGCGTTTTCGCGCCCTGCCCTCGCTTACCGGGCAGCGAAAATGGAGGCCGGATGGGGGAATCTTTGCTTACCAGTGAGTTTTTCCCCAATAGGAATGCATTAAATGGAGTTTAATGCGTTCCTATGGGTTTTTCCCCCCTGCATAGAGACGAATCCGGATAGCGACGTTAATCCTGGAATGGATTAACGTCACTATGCGGGGCACCACTGTATTCTCCTCTCCCCATTCAATCTCCTCACTCTCCCTTCTCTCTAGCTGCCTGTCACTCTAGCTCCGCCCCTCCTGTCTTATCATAGGCTCCTGCACCTGAGCTCCATATGATGGACAGGAGTGACATAGTGACGTGGGCATTCCGCCACAGTCCGTTCTTAAGAATGCTTACTGTGCACTGCTATCAACTGTTGTCTTGATTTTTGCTATTTTCTTGCATGGTGTTCTGCTTTATTAACTATTGTGGTCCAGGCATTTCTCACTGAAATACACAATAAAAATGTTTCACAGTAAGTATCTTCTGCATCTTTACATTGCATTAGCCTTTTTGGATAATATGCCTAGAAGCTGATCATGTACCAGTTGTGTTCAAAATTATTCAACCCCCAATGCTGTAAAGGGGTTTAGGGACTATAGTGTACATTTGGAATTGTATTCAGAATGAAATCCTACAAGGACGTTTTAAAGAACCAAATGCAACTAAAATAACATCAATTGTTTATGTAATACAGTAGTAAATGTTTCTTTTGTGGTTTCTTCATTGCCACAATTATTCAACCCCTTAAAGACTACCACTCTGAAGAAGAGAGGTTCATTCAGGTGTTTTCGATCAGGTATTGAAAACACCTGCGGATGTCACCGAGCACCAATCAAGCATAATAACCACCAATTAGGCAGCTTTAAAATGACTGTGATACTCAGCTCCTTCTAGACATTTACTGGTGTGGTTACAAACATGGTGAAGTCAAGAGAATGGTCCAGGAAGACAAGAGAAGAGGTGATTTGTCTTCACAGGAAGGGCAATGGCTATAAGAAGATTGCAAAGAAGTTAAACATACCAAGAGACACCATAGGAAGCATCATTCACAAATTCAAGGCAAAGGGCACTGTTGAAATGCTACCTGGTCGTGGAAGAAAGAAGATGCTGACTTCGACTGCTGTGCGCTACCTAAAGCGTAGAGTGGTGAAAAGTCCCCGTGTGACTGCTGAGGAACTGAAAAAAGATTTGTCAGATGTGGGTATAGAAGTTTCAGCTCAGACAATAAGGCGCACACTGCGTAATGAAGGTCTCCATGCCAGAACCCCCAGGCGCACCCCCTTGCTGTCTCCCAAGAATAAGAAGAGTCGACTGCAGTATGCCAAAAGTCATGTGGGCAAACCACAAAAGTTGTGGGATAGTGTTCTGTGGACTGATGAAACAAAATTAGAACTGTTTGGGCCCATGGATCAACGCTATGTTTGGAGGAGGAAGAACAAGGCATATGACGAAAAGAACACCTTGCCTACTGTGAAGCATGGCGGAGGGTCAATAATTCTTTGGGGCTGTTTTGCTTCTGCAGGTACAGGGAAGCTTCAGTGTGTACAAGGTACCATGAATTCTCTTCAGTACAGGAGATATTGGATGAAAATGTGATGCAGTCCATCACACACCTGAGGCTTGGGAGACGTTGGACCTTTCAACAGGACAATGATCCCAAGCATACCTCCAAGTCCACTAGAGCATGGTTGCAGAGGAAAGGCTGGAACATTTTGGAGTGGCCATCACAGTCACCAGACTTAAATCCGATTGAGAACCTCTGGTGGGACTTAAAGAAAGCAGTTGCAGTGCGCAAGCCTAAGAATTTGACTGAACTGGAGGCTTTTGCCCATGAAGAATGGGCGAAGATACCCGTAGATCGCTGCAAGACACTTGTGTCAAGCTATGCTTCACGTTTAAAAGCTGTTATAACTGTAAAAGGATGTTGTACTAAGTACTAAGATTGAATGTCACTTGGGGGTTGAATAAAAACTAATAATGATGTGAGCACAGAAAAGACATTTGTGGTTATTTCATTATAAACTTAAGGTTATATTTCTCTGACCTACAAGTGCCTCTTTCATGTAAATGTAAGCAAGATGACTGAATGATCAAAATCAATGTCAAAATGGCCAAAACATTCAATTTCAGTGGGGGTTGAATAATTTTGAACACAACTGTAATCATTCAAAGTTACAGTTGTAGTTAATTCCAATTTTAAGATTTGTAGTACAGCTATTAGAAATCAGGCTGCACATTACCTATCCTGATTTAGTGTTACATCTAAAATCAACCTATATTCTTTGTATTTAACAGTTAATAAATTAGCAGATAAATGGCATGGATTTTTGTTCTTTACCAAGAGCAGATTGAAGATACAGGGACCAAAATCCTAGACATATCTAAGGGCATTAAGCTCATAGAATCTATGGGTGCATGCAAGCTTCACTCTAAATTTCTCTGCAGCCACTGCTTTTTCCATGCTTAGGCAGCCATCCAGCTGCATTGATGGAATGTCAACCTATTTCTCATAGAGTGCAACATCCTGAGTGTCATCACAGCCTTCTCCAAGCTGGAGTTCCCCACATGTGTTTGTCTACAACTGCCACTGTCTCCAGCAAACATAAACTAATGCCCTGCTGGTTGGAACAGATGGGAATTGTAGCCCAGTGTATTTTGAGGGCAGCAACTTGGGGAAAGCTGGACATGTGAATCATGCTGGTTCTCTCTTCTCTCCTGTTGTCCATCACTCATGTCTAGTTCTAAACTTCGTCATTTCCTCTAGGTAAGTCCAGACTTGACTTGAGTCAAGAGGACCCTACAAAGCTCTACTTGAAGTTGTGTTTTATTTATTTTATTTATTTAAAATATTTTTACCCCACCTTTCTCCTTGAAACCCAAGGTCTTTTCAAAATGAGTTCAAAGTATCTTGGTATAGAAGGAAAGTGTACTGTACAGAGAAGAATCCAGTTCTCTGTGTGAAAATGATTTCCCGCCTGTGAAGGCATTCAGTTTAGACATCAAGGTAGAAACTGAATAGAGCTGCAGGTCGAGGGATATTTTTGCATGAAATCAAATTAACAGCAGCTCTAGGAATTTGCTCTTGATTAAATTGTATTTTTGAATAGGAAATCAGTTCCAGAGCAGTGAACCCAGGAAAGAATGAAGCATTGCTAACAAGTACAGCATTTCTGCAGCCGGAAGATTTAGAGGTTAGTGAAATATGCTTAATAAAAATGCCACGGTTATTTGAATTTTGATTATTTTACTGCATGTGAATGATAAAATAGAATTTAATGTGTTTATATCTTTAATATTTTACTCTTTTGTTGCTTTCAAAAATATTTCAAAACCAGTTATAGTTACAGCTAGGAGTATCACGTTTATCCACATAAATATTAAGTTCGTAAGTGTTTCTCAGAATGGTTGTTGTGGGTTTTTCGGGCTCTGTTTAAAACATTCTGTTTTTCAGAATGTTTTAAATAGTTATATGAAAACTGTGGGCTGCCCTTCCTTTGGAGTGATTGCCCTCCATGCAGGAAGAAAAAAAATATTCACATGAGAGTGAAACTCCCATTGGTGGACGTAAATGGTACAGATTTCAATGGTATTGGTAAAATAATTGTCGGAGTGGTTTTTATATGTATTGCTGTATTTATTGCAGAAAAGATGACAGAGCTGAGTTTCTCTTTTCATCAGATTACATACTTTTGTTTGTCTCAGTGGTTGTTTTAATAATTAATATTTCATCCCACCCGTCCTCCATTGTTGTTCTCACAGTACCCATGGGAGTGTGAGCTTGAGAGAAGGTATATATTCAACTGACACAAATATGAGCTTTGTAGTTTGCAGAAATTTCAGTGAAGATCTTCCCAATCCAGGTCTGACTCCAGAGTTTAGTAAAGTAGCTCTTTAAATGATAGTGTCCAGCAGGTGGCATGCTGAGATTTGCAGTCTAGAAATGTAACTTTTCCAAGTCCTCTTTTGTTCTAGCTGATACACCATAGCAGTTCTTTTCAAGGACATTCAGACAAAACTGAACATTGTTTTGCTGTCATTAGTCTAATACATGCTACTCAGAAAACTTGTTAGTTATACATTCAAAGGTTCTTCAGTATTGCCATGCTAATTTGGTATAAAGTTGATAAAGGCAAATAGCCTTTTGTCTTCCTTCTTATGACTTATTCCTGGCATGCAGACCAGGGGGTGGCCATGAGAAGAGACTTCATGACTACCTTCTGCTTTTCACTGTGCTACCATTATTAGTCACTCGGCTCCCTTTCCCACTGTTTCTCCACAGTGTTAATGTGAGACAAGGAAGGAGCTTCACTGGAAAGCTTGCCAAGAACTCTGACTTGTGGCAACCTTTTCCAGGGTTTTATAGGTATTAGAAACTATTTACCATTCCCTTCTTAAAGGGGTGATCTGAGTCTGTGCAGCTTGCTAAAGGCTACATAGGCTGCCTTTTTCATGGAAGGCACAGTGGGGAATCAAACTCATCAACTCTGGCACCAAAGCCAGATATGCCTACTTGCTTGGATATGTGTTACTGGTCACGCCTTCCCTTTTTGTTCTGTTTTGGTACAGCTGGATTTGTCATCGGTGCACAAAGTCTCTCTCAGTGAAGATGTCTTGCCAAACTCCTGCAGTTTGTTTGTCAATTCAGAAGAAATTGTTCCTTCATCCCTGTCTCCAGAAAGACACATCCAGCAGGTTATTTATCTTCTTATTTATATGTGTCTTTGTTGCAGTACTGACCTAAATAAAAGTATCTTGGAATTGCTCTCAATTAAATAATAAAATCAGAATATATTAGAATCACAAATTATTTCAAAACTCAACTTTTCCTATCTTCAACACATGAAGACGGATGTAATAATAGAAGAAACACTGCAGTATGTTCCTTTTTTCACTTTTTACATTGGGTTTTCTTCTGACTTACAGCTTCTATGAAGCTTGTACATTCTGTGTTAGCTGTAATCAGTCTTACTGTTTTATCTGCTGCAGGAGCTGTAACCTGTATATATAAAATATAATTATCTTCCCCTTTGTTTATAAAATAGTGGCGAAGCTGCTCCAGAGCTTGGTAGGGAGGTGTCTTGGTGTCATGAGGAATGCTAGCCATCTGACACAATTTTCACCATCCACAGCCAGATATTGCTGCATTCTTGCAGACCCATTTGAGAGCCTGAGCTTGCTTGTACTGAGGATAGTGACAGTGCTTCCAGATTGACTTGCTCCTCTACAAACATGGCCCTTTTCAGATGTATCTGGCTGCGGAGCCAGAGGTTGGGAGTTTGATTCCCCACTGTGCCTCTTTGACAGGGACCAGACTCAGTGATCCCTTCTAGCTCTGCATTTCTAAGATGATTAAGCTGAAATGAACCTGAGCAGTCTTTGGACAATCTTTGCTTCTTTTCCCCCTTGAACTACCTTGAGGAAGAGATGGGTTAGTTGAAAGGCCAAAGCCAAAGCTTTCAGATCCGGGAGAAGGACAAGCCAAATTCAACTGAAACATGTGGTTGAAGAGGTTGCAAGGCCTACCACCTGTGTGGCCCTAAAGGTACAGCATGATCACAGAGTCCTACCAGAAGGAAAGACAAGTAAACCACTTCTGAGCACTTTAAACCTAGTAAACCTTAGGAACATTGCCATAAGTCAAAATTGTCTTTACTGCACATAGTTATAGCTAAAGCTTCCAAAGTTCCTCCTTAGAGATGTTAAACTAATGGAGGAGGAGTAGAGAGCAATACTGTGTAGATGAGGTAAAGTGAGCCAGTGTGGTGTAATGGCTAGACTGTGATTCAGGACAGTTGCATTCAACTCCCCATTTGGCTTCAAACTCATTGGGGGACCTGAAGCCACTCACACTCTCTCAACCTTACCTCACAGGGTTGTTCTGAGGATAATTAAGTGGGAGAGTAATGAGCTCTGTATGCTGCCTTGTGTGCATTGACTGGGATAGAAATGCAGATGATGATATGGGGCTGCAACTCCAAGCATTCCACATCATTGACTGTGCTGCCTGGGGAGCTGATGGACTCATCCTACAACATATGCAAGACTACCATTTGCCTACTAGTGATTTAAACAAGCCCAAATTAGAAGATATCTGTTATTCTGGTTTGCTATTAGATCATGGTTTATTGGTTCAATTCCCCTTGAATTCAAACATAAGAAGAAACTCTGGTCAGTTTAAAGGGGAATGTGAATGCTTCTAGAGCTTGGAATTGTTAGAGTTGCAGAATCCCCCAAAGATGAAGCCATTCTGTCTGAGCCATTCTCAGAGGAGTAATCCAAAATGTTAAAATTCCAACCACTGGATGTTTCTGACCTCTTCTGGGTTTATTACAGAGAATAGGGGAAAGAAAGTATGTGAACCTAAGGTTTGTGTATGTAATGAAAAAAATCACACTTTAAATCAAATATTAAATCAAATCCTTTTTGAAAAGCATGGTAAACAAATAAAGCAAAGCAAAAAGCGTGCTGCTTATATACCACCCCATAGTGCTACAAGCAGTTTACAAGTTAATTATGCAGGCTACACATTGCCCCCTGACCCAGCAAGCTGGGTACTCATGTTACCAACCTTGGAAGGTTAGAAGGCTGAGTCTACCTTGAGCCAAATACCTGGGATTGAACCCCAGGTCATGAACACAGTTTTGGCTACAGTACAACAGTTTAACCACTGCGCCACAAGGCTCAGAATAAGTGTGATTGGCTTCATTTTGTGACAATAGCAGTTCCCCGTTTTCTTTGTGAATGACAGGAGACGTATTTACCAAATTGCTTATATCATGAAGAGGGGAGGGATGAACTACAACTTCTGTAGGTCCAACAAGACTGTTAAACAACAGTAAATCATTCCATATAACATCAGAGTCACTAGTAACAACCGTTTCCCTTAACAAAACACCATCCCAAATTTCTCCCAATCGGTCAGTTTTCTCATAGGTGTAGTCCGCACCGCACATATGATCCCACAGCAAGGATGTCTGGCCCAGTCCCCCTTGTGTGGGTTCACTCCAGTGGGGATAGGTTCCGGACGCACCACCTTCCTCCAAGGACCCTTCCCCCCGTGGGTAAACGTATACTGTCCGTTCTAGTGGATCAAGTTTGCCTGCACTTCTATCCCTGTAGGAAGTGGTTCTAAAATAGATTTCCCACCTCTTTCAAAACCTCACTCTGTACTCCGGGGCACTTGAAAACATAGGGTTTAGATTCATGTCTTAGATCTGACTTTAACTCAGTCTTATGTTCTCCTTGCTCTTTCTCCTACTAACTTCCCTTTTTCCTCCTGCTGCCAAGCTTGCCAATGACCTCCAACTCCTGCCTATTCCCGCCTTTTCCTCCCACTCTTCCATTACTAAAAGGCCTTCTGTTATTGGTTGTCTCATATCCCTCTCTTTCCTCTCCTCTTGTTCCAAAGTCCTATATCCAATGCACTTGTTTTTCTGTTGATCTCTTCTGCATGAGAAGGAGGGGACGGCTCACTTTCTTGTTTGATTACTTTAAACGGTTCTTCTTCACAATAAGTAATTTTCCTATTTTGTTCTTTCAGTATCTATGTAATCTACCAGAAATCTGCTCTATTGTTAAAGCTTCTCCAGAATATAGACCACTGAAAGTTCTCCAGCGTCCACTGAACAGAAAAGCGCTGTTCTTTCCACCAGGATCAACAGAAGGTAAAAAAAAAAAAGGAAAAAAAAGAACAGAGAATTTTTCTTTATTGTAAAAGCTCCTTAAATGGACAAGAGGAACACTTGGTCTAGGATTGTTGGGGTGCAGGATTTAAAAGTACAGGTAAATGTTCCTAGTTCCGTTTGGACAGATACATGTTGGAATACACAAATATGGTAAGAATCTAGAGCACACATTTCTGGCATTTGAAACTGCTGATTTGGGACTTGGGTTCAAATTCCTATTCAGCCTTGAAGTTGCTAGGTAGTTGTGGGTAAATCATAATTTCTTAAACATAATTTATAACACATTGAAAACAGAAATGATTGTAAATTGTCCTGTACTGCTCAATTAATATAATTACATTTATTAATCAGTGACAGGACATTTTAATTGGTGATAGTGAAACGGAGAGGAATGCTTGTCTGCTTGTTTGGTATGTTATAACAGGCTAGAGGGTAAAATCGAAAAAAAGGGAGACAGATGACTGGGGCTGTAATGTATAATTCTGTTCGTCCTTCAATTTTAGTAAAGAGCACACTGTTAATATGTTTGGCTTTGTGTGTAACACTCTAACAAGTCTTCTTGGATAATAGGCTCAACATACCATGCTCTAGAATTGTTTTGATCTAAAAAATTTATTCTGCTTTTATTGTAACAACAAACTACTGCATTTAGTTTCATCAGATTATTGACTTTTGTCTCCAGAAAGTAGCATTGAGAGTTGTTTCTCATATGGAAATTGATATTTTGCAGATATTATTACAAGTTCAAAAAACTGGGTCTCCAACAGTGACAGATGAACACTTCTATTGATTTGTAGGGCATGCTAAAAGATCTTTATGGGGAGAAAGAAAAAAGAAGCACTTTATAGAACTCTGCATAACTGTATTGTATGAACTGTTGATCCAAGAGGCAAAAAAAATATATCTCCAAATCCTATGAAAATCAATAGAGCTCATATTAAGACTATCCTTATGTTTTATAGATTTCGGTATTTATCAATATCATTACCATTCTATATATATGTATGTGCCATAATCCCTCTGTGTATTTATGTGCCAAAATCTTATGAACTCTGTATTTATTAACCCTTAAAAGCAGTTGCTTGGGAACGACGTTGGATATGCATTCTGGACCTTTTATACATAAAATGCAAAATACATAAAATACATGGGAAACTATTTTGGTGTTTTAATAACTTTCTTTCAGTGGCAGAATATAAAATATTGTCCTTATTTACTTGTTAAAAAAAAAGAAAATGGAAATAGACAAAATTATAGTGTAGTGTGAGTTTGAACTGAATATTTGGATTTTCTTAAGTTTGAAATTCAATAATATGTTGAAAAAAATTATGAAAAAAAGTACTTCAAGATGTATAGTATGTCCAGGAATTAAGTTAGCTGGAGTGTGTTTGTTCTGATTCATGTTTTGTTCATGTGCTTATCCTACACTGATGCTAAGAACTCGCTGTTGCTTAACATTTATTTACCCTGTTATCAAATATGTATTGTTTTTCTCTTAATAGTTCTCAGAAAGGCATGTTAACATTATCAAATTACACTGAAGTGCTTAGATTTCAGTCATTGCAGGACAATTACATATACTTCCAATTCCTAATAATTTTCCTTAACCAGGTTTGTGAAGCTAGTTTGAATGAATGTGATTCAGAAAATTAAGTGTTAACATCTTTTCCTTATGAATAAATGTGCAGAAAAACTAGATTTTTTCCTTGTGTCTAAATTTTAATAGAGCTAGTTACATTTCCATCAACTTTTTACAGGATAAACGTTACCTTGACATAAGAAAGTCTCTGGCCAGGGTCCTGTCATCAGAAAGAGGAAAGGGTGTTTCCTGTTCTGCAGTGCCCCCTTCATGGATCCTCAAAAGTTGAACAGTGGTCTATATGCAGCATGTTGTTTATTTATGAACAAAGATAAACATATGTTTATACAGTACTCCTAAAAAAGCCTAACCTGGACCCAAAGCTGGTGGTTAACTACCGACCAGTAGCGAACCTCCCTTATTTGGGCAAAGTGTATGAGTGGGTTGTGGCTGGGCAACTCCAGGCACTGCTGGATGAAATTTTCTGGATCCATTTCAATTGGGTTTCAGGCCAGGTTTTGGTATGGAGACTGCCTTGGTCGCCCTGTACGATGATCTTTGCTGGGAGAGAGGCAGGTAGAGGGTGACCCTGTTGATACTCCTGGACCTCTCAGCGGCTTTCAACACCATCGACCATGGTGTCCTTCTGGATAGGTTGGCTGGGTTGGGAGTTGGTGGCACCATTTTACGGTGGTTCCGCTCTTTCCTGGCTGACCATGTCCAGAGGGTTGTGCTCGGGGACAGTTGCTCTGTGCCATGGCATTTGTCATGGAATTCCTCAGGGTTCGATACTGTCCCCCATGCTGTTTAACATCCATATGAAGCTGCTGGGAGAGGTAATCAGGAGGTTTTGGCCTGAGGAGTTAGCAATATGCTGACAATACTCAGCTCTACTTCTCATTTTCCACCAATCCAGGTGAGGCGGTTCCTGTGCTGAATTCATGTCTCGACCTGATGAGGGTTAATAAATTGAAACTCAATCCAGACAAGATGGAAATGCTGTTAGTGGATGCTTCACTGGACAGGCTGGAGGGCCACTTCCCTGCCCTGAATGGGGTTACACTCCCCCTAAGGGACAGGGTCCACAGCCTGGGGGTGCTCCTGGACCCCAGTCTAACTCTGGAAGCCCAGGTGGACTCGGTGGCCAGGAGCGCCTTCCTTCAGCTGCAGAAATTATACCAGCTATGACCCTACTTGAATGAGCGGAGTCTCATGACAGTTACACATGCACTGGTAACTCGCATAGATTACTGCAATGCACTCTAAGTGGGGCTGCCTCTGAAGACAGTCCGGTGACTGCAATTAGTCCAGAATCGAGTTGCGCGGCCGGTGAGTGGTGCGACCGCTAGGGAACACATCAAGCTGATTCTGATTAAATTACAGTACAGTACATTGGCTACCAGTTGCTGCCTGGGCCAAATTCAAAGTGCTTGTTATGACATATAAAGCCCTGAATGGCTTGGGCCCTGGATACCTGCAAGACTGCCTCCTTCCATATGAACATACCCAGCAGTTAAGATCTAGCCAGGGGGCCCTTTTGAAAGAGCCATCCCTCAAGGAAATAAGAGGGAGGGCTTGTAGAGAAAGGGCCTTTTCTGCAGCTGTCCCCAGACTATGGAACGCCATCCCAATTGAGATTTATCTGGCGCCGACGCTGATGACATTTCGGCTCCAGGTCAAAACCTTCCTGTACCAGAAGGCTTTTAATTGAAATAATATCAACTGTGGGTCCTGCTGGGAATTTTTAGAGTATATATTTTAAATGTGTTTTAATTGTTTTATCTTTTTTATTGTGTTTTAATTGTTGTAAGCTGTCCAGAGACCTTTGGGAAGGGGGGGGAGCATATAAGTTAAATAAATAAATAAAATAAATATGTTGGTCCATGAAAATAACACCAAAACATTTCACAAAAGTGTGAAAACAAGTTCTCTAGATCTCATCATGAGACAAGATTGTGGTGTTTTTTTAAGGGGGGGGAGAGAAGCAGGGAATTATAAAGTTCTGACCAGATGTTACTCTGGCCACAAGGGCAGCTGTTAAACCTAGTTCCAAGATGACGATTTTTCATGGAATCAGTTGTTGTACACATATACCAGACTGAACTTAGCTATATTTACTGGACTGTACAAGAAGTGTCAGGTCTTCATTTTTGAAAATATAAGGCTGGCTGCAATTAAGAGATTTATCTCTTTCCATGGTACATCTTAATGTGTTGCTTCTTCAGATATTAAAACAAAACTCAAAAGTGGTGTGAGAAGAAAATTTGCTCAGGTTGCAGACTAGAAACAAAATGTGCTACTAAACAGAAGAGGAGAGTCGGGAGAGAGAGCAATTCTTTTACAGACTTCACTTGCTTAAAATGGAAACCCATTTCTACCTCTGTGTAGTCTTCCACTGGGAACCACTGGGAGTAGAAGTAGGATTGGCTGTTGACTGATTTCTGCTTATAATGTCAAGGGAAAGAGTAGGCATAAAAGCCTAAATGATACTACAATGGTGCCCCGCATCATTAAACGGGGCATAACAGGCGGCCCGTTTAATGACGAATCCGCATAGTGATGGTTTTTTTGCGATCATTTTTGCGATCACATTGCGATGTTTTAGATGGTAAAACATCGCTTTGCGATGATCGGTAAGCTGTTTTGCTTACCAATTTTCGCATGGCGATGTTTCCCTAACAGCTGATTGGCGGTTCCAAAATGTTCCCGCCAGGTTAAAAAAATGGCTGCCCGCAGTGTTTTCGCGCCCATTCCTCGCTTACCGGGCAGCGAAAATGGCGGCCGTATGGAGGATTTTCACAGAACGGGGAGTTTTTTCCCATAGGAACGCATTAAACATGTTTTAATACATTCCTATGGGCTTTTTTTGTTCCGCATAGCGACGAATCCATATAGCGACGATTTTTCCGGAACAGATTATCGTTGCTATGCGGGGCACCACTGTACTTATTTAGTTAGGGGGTGATTACATTGACAATAATGTGGGAAATGCTCTGGGATTGGGATGGTCAGATTCATATTATTTTCCATTGCCTACTTGATTCACAAATCAATTCAAATCTACCCAGAGTTATCCCCACCAATCTGTAACTTTCCCCTCTGCTGCTGGACTCTTTTTTTTAACTGAATGCAGTCACATTGATTCAGGCATTGCTACAAGGGTGGGATTCTCCACTCAATAATAGCTCAATAGGATACTGGCCAATAGTTTGGGTTTCTTCGAATTGGCAGAGAGTTAGACTAGATGACCCCTTCTCCCCTTCTAGCTCTCTAGTTCTATTATTCATTATGGGACAAAGAGTCTATTTTGCTTTCCTGATTATACATTTGCTAATATATCTATTTTTCTCTGAAAATGTAATTGAGAAGGTGAAGATAATCCCCACTAGTTTGTGTAGCTTTCTAAAATATTTTCTTCAGATGCTGATACTGTTAGAAATTAGAACTTAATACTCTGTAGAGTTTCCTTGATGTTGTTTTCCAAAACATCAAACTGGACAAGGTCATAATATAATGAAGATTCACCTCTGATGGAGACCTTCAATGCTGTTGACACACAGCAACATACTTTGAATGACAACAAGTTTCTGATTCCAGCCTGAAACTATCTGCATGACCTAGCTCTTAATGGTGTCAGTTTAACCTTCATCCTACATAAAAAAGATTTATATGATCTGAAGAGAAACCAGGGTATACATAAAAATTTTTTTGCTGGGAACAGAGGATCTGCCCCGGTATACATAAATTTTTTTTTTGCTGGGAACAGAGGATCTGCCCCTTGTTTTTAATTAACCCAAAGCAGGTACATCTATCTTAGACTGCTTTGAGACTGATTGAAAACAGTGCTGCTTACTTCCAAAGAAACGTATGCATGAGCACAGGACTGCTTCATATGTGTGTATCTTCATTACTTGATGACCATATGGCAAGTGGTAGCTTCCATCCAGGGATGAAATCTCATGAAATAGAGACCACCAACAGAACTTTCACCTGAAACATTTCAGTGGATTCATTTTAATTCAGCTGCAAGCCGCCACATGCAGTGTAATATGTGCATGGAGTGAACTTTGGGCTAATTTGGGTCAAGTGTTGTCCAATGATCATTTTGTACAGTACAGTGGTGCCTCGCATAGCGAGGTTAATGCGTTCCGGATTAACCTTCGCTATGCTGAAGCATCATTGAACGGGGCAGGGAATTCCATTGGAACGCATTAAACATGGTTTAATGCATTCCAAATGGGCCAAATACTCACCGTTCAGCGAAGCTTCTTATTGGCCGGCAGCCATTTTCGCGCCCTCACCTCGCTTAACAAGGGCGCGAAAACGCTGCGCTTGGCCATTTTGGGCCATTTCCGGGCTTCCGGCGGCCATTTTGGCCACCGAACAGCTGATCGTTGGGGGTTGTTTTGCGAAGATTGGTAAGCGAAACGCTTACCGGTCTTCGCAAAGCGAATTTTGCCCTATCGAAAAAACGTTAAGCGATCGCATTAGCGATCTGAAAAAACGGATCGCTATGCGATTTCGTCGTTATGCGGTGCGCTCGTTAAGCGAGGCACCACTGTATATATAAACGGAACTTCCATTTTCCATGCCAGGAACTGAAGTTCCTGCTTTGCCTGAAGAGAGTTCTCTCTTCTGCTGTACAGTTAACCAACATGTTCATATAGAGAGCATGAGCAGCTTCAGAGGTCTGTTTAGGATGCAGTTGTGGACACACCGGAGAGAAAGCATGAACTCAGTGGAACTTATTTCAGTGTAGACATGCCTAGGATCTTAGAATGAAAAGATACCTGCAATTATGTGTGGTTACTTGCTGCAGTTTTCAGATTGCCATCTTTCTTGCGGCTGGAACCCTATACATTTTGTTGTTGTTTAGTAGTTTATGGTGAAGGGGCTTGAGTAATTCAGAGAAGCTATGGGCTATGCCGTGCAGGGACACCCAAGACGGAGAGGTCATAGTGGAGAGTTCCGACTAAACGCAATCCACCTGGAGTAGGAACTGGCAAGCCACTCCAGTATCTTTGCCAAGAATACCCCATGAACAGAAACAAAAGGCTAAAAGATATGACGCTGGAAGATGGGACCCTCAGGTCGGATGGCGTCCAACA